CTCAGCACCCTTATATCACCACATACATGTATCATAACATACACTGACGTAATCCCTCCAATTAAGGGAATATCCACGAATTCACATCCTGCACCACACATACACTCACCACGGCTCGCGATCACGCTCATTGTCAAACATGACCAACAAGGGTCCAAAACCACAAAGGAAACCAACAGAACAGCAGGAGAAATACAAACTGCTGTCGGGCTCGCTGGCACATTCGCCTGGCGAAGCCCCGCAGCGAACACTCGCTGGCCATTCGCCTGGCGAAGCCCCGCAGCGAACACTCGCTGGAACTCGCCTGGCAAAACTTCTGGCGAAGCCAGACAGAAGCTTCTGCCAGCACTCGCTGGCTAGTTCTCCTGGCGAAGGCTCGCCCCTCATTCGCCCATCGAATACCTGCATACTCAGAAAAATTATGCACAGCAGAAACATCACCCATCACCGATTCCACCCGATTAAATCGAGTCTAACATCCACTCGCAACCAAACAACATAATACGACTTAATTACAAGGTCTATTCCCGATTCTACCCGACAAATTATCAACTCTGCTCAAATAACCCACTTCCGGCTCAACTTCGAATTTTCCCGGAAACCCCAAATGCACTCAAACAATTATCACAGCCACATGCAAACGAATTAACACATTCAATCACCACAATCACAGCAATAATGACATACAATCAACATCATATTATCATCATCACGCAAATATACTCATACATGGGGTTAGGGATTCCCCTTCTACCAATATTCATGTAATACCATTTAACCGATATATCTGCCCCCCTTACCTCGAATTCAATTCTGATGTTGATGAAGCTTCAGAAATTCACAGCTTGATGGTCTTTTTTCTTCAGCCTTTGCTCTCTTGATTGTGCTTGCTCCTTCTCCCACCGTGTGTTCTTCGTTCTCTCTACCGTGTTCTTTCTCTCCTTTTCCTTCAACTTTTCCAAAATGCCAAACTTGCCCTCAATACCCCCAAAATTCCCTTATATTCCAAATAAATAATTAATTCTCATTTTCTTTTAATCCAAAAATTCCAATAATAATAAATCCTCATTTTAATCCCAAATAATCCAATTTTATTTATTCTTAATCCCAATAATAATATTCTCATTTCCCCTCATTCCAAAAATCAAATTTAATATTAATATCCCAAATAAATATTATTTCCACATTTTCTTTAATTTCCAAACTCTTTCAATAATATTTTTAAATATGACAATAATAACAATAATATTAATAAAAATAGTATAAACACTATTAATCATCATATTATTCTTATTATTAATCATATTTCTCTAATATTATGGAACTCAATTCCTCAAACAATTTCCACACACCATGCACCGAAAAAAAAAATACAGAAAAACTAAATAATTAAAAATGGGTATTACACAAATCAATCAAGCCGCGAAAAGTAAAGTAAAATTTATGGATGATACCACTCTTGCGGCCGAAGGTGTCAGTGATGTTTTGATAAAAAAGAAGAATGACGGACATTCTATGATCAAGGGTGTCTTTTATATACCAGGAATTAAATGTAATATCTTGAGTATTGACCAATTGCTTGGGAGGGATTACGAAATTCGCTTGGAGGACAAGATTTTACGTGTTGTGGATGCTAACGGAATGTTGATCCTTAAGGCACCTATGGTTGCGAATAGGACTTTCAAAGTGGATTTGAAAGTGATTGAGCATAGGTACTTAGCTACAACGACAAGTAGAGAAGAGTGGTTCTTGCGTTACCGTCTTAGGCATCTAAATTTTCGAGATCTCAAAGGGGCTACCACACATTAATATTCTTACTGAGTTTTCTGAAGAATGTGTGAAGGCAAAGCAACACAAGGCGATTTTTAGCAAAGATGCGGGTCATAGGACTTAGACTCACCTTAAGGTGGTGTATTCCAACATTTGCAGGCCAATGCAAGTGGACACATTGAGTGGAAATAGGTATTTTGTCACTTTTATCGATGATTTAAATAGAAAGATATGGACTTACCTTATCAAGAGAAAGGATGAGGTGTTTGATGTGTTCAAGAAGTTTAAGTCTATGGTTGAAAGGCAATGGGTCAAAAACTCAAAATGCTCAAAACAGACGGTGGAGGTGAATACGTCTCAAATGACTTTGGGAAATTTTATGATCAAGAAGGGATAATGCATGAGGTTGTACCACCTTATACATCACACAAAAATGGTGATGCCGAGAGAAAGAATCAATCGATTATGAACATGGTTCGACGCATGTTAAGTGGAAAAAACTTGCCGATGGAGCTATGGGGGGAAGTGGTATCTACAACCACTTATTTGTTAAATAGGTGCACAACTAAGAAGCTTGAGAAGCTGACATCAGAAGAGGTATGGTCCGAATTCAAACCGAATCTAAGCCATTTAAGAGGTTTCGGTTCGGTGGCGTATCGACATGTGTCGGGTCAACTTAGAAAGAAGTTGGACGACAAGGGCGAGGAGATGATTTAGGTTGGATATCACTCTATTGGAGGATAGAAATTGTTTGATGTGCAAAATTCGGAAGATTGTGATAAGCCGAGATGTAATTTTTTATTAAATTAGTGCTGTTAGTCCCAAGGTAAACAGTTACATGCAGGCAGTGCAATCTGACGTAACCAGTTACATGCAAGCAATGCAATCTGACGTAACTAGTTACATGTAGAGAAATCACACTTCTAGGTCTACGGAGCAGAGTGTAATCAATTACCAGTAGAACAAAACCTCCAGCAGCTTTGTTATTTATGATCCTGTCAGTTTCGAAACTGTTGTGCAGCCCCCAAATGAGATCCAAAACGAAGAAAACATTATAAGATCAATAAGGCAAAGGATATTGCCTCAAAGAATCCAAGAATGCGAGAGATTCCAAGACAACAAAATCAATGATGATGGCGATTTCGTTCACTTTACACTTATGGCCGAATCTGAACCGGTGAACATAGAGGAGGCTCTAAGCGATTTAAAGTGGATTTGTGCAATGAAAGAGGAGTTGGAATCTATTGTAAAAATGGTACTTGGGAGTTGGTTGATTTACGCTTGGAAAGAATTCGATTGGTGTGCGATGGGTCTATAAAGGGAAGGAAAATCCCAAATGCGAGGTGATTAAGCACAAGGCTCGATTGGTAGCAAAGATATTCTTGCAACATGAAGGTATAGACTTTGAGGAGGTGTTTGCACCTATGGCTAGACTTGAAACCATTCAATTAGTTGTTGGCATTGCAAATAACAACAATTGGAAGATATTTCAAATGGACATCTAATCTTATTTTTTGAATGGTCCACTTGATGAAAAGATTTATGTTGAGCAGCCCCTCGGAAGAATCGAGAGGTGAAGTACTACAAATTGCATAAAGTATTATATGGTTTGAAACAAGCTCCAAGAGCTTGGAACAAACGCATTGATGGTTTTCTTATTCACATTGGTTTCAAGCGACGTGTGTCCAAACATAGAGTTTATGTGAGATCAAATGCAAATGATGGTGTGATCATCCTTTGCTTGTATGTGGATGATCTATTGATTACCAGCAGTTGTGAGAAGATTATCTCTAAGTTCAATAGTGAACTTATGGATGAGTTTGAGGTGAAGGACCTTGGCATTATGACATATTTCTTTAGCATAGAGTTCCAAAGGTCAAAAACGGGACTGCTCATGCATCAAAGGAGATATGCTCTTGAGATCTTGAAGAGGTGTGAAATGGAGCATTGTAATACGACCATTACACCATGTGAAGCAAAGTTGAAGCTGTCCAAGAGTGAGAATGAGCAAGATGTAGATCAAACGCAATATAAAAGATTGATTGGATCATTTCGGTACTTGTGCAATACGCGGCCGGACTTGGCATTTAGTGTCGGCATTGCTAGTAGATTCATGCAGAGACCTAAGGTGTCTCACATGGCAGCGGTCAAAAGAATCCTTATATATGTTAAAGGGACTCTTGGTTGTGGAATTCTCTTTCTGACATCGGATACGGGCAAAAAAATGTGATTTACTTGGTTTCACCGATTCTAATTGGTGTGGTGACAAGGATGACAGAAAGTAAACGGCTTGATACATCTTTATGTTTGGTAGGACACCAATCTCTTGGTGTTCAAAGAAGGAACCGATGGTAGCACTCTCATCTTATGAGGCCGGGTACATTCCAACATCGTTGTGTGCATGTCAAGCCATATGCCTCATGAATATATTGAAGGAGTTGGGTAGCAATGAGGGTGAGGCTACTAGATTTCTTGATGATAATGTTTCTACGATCAACCTTGCGAAGAATTCGATTACACACGGAATGAGCAAGCACATAGAGATGTAGTTTCATTATTTGAGGGAACTAGTGAGTGAAGGTAAGTTACAATTGGGGTATTGTCAAAGCGGAGACCAAGTAGCGGATTTGTTGACCAATGGGGTAACAAATGAGGTGTTTAAGAGGTTGAAGATGAGCTTGAGCATGTTGGACTTAGACCAACTGAAATGAGGTAGTGTGTTGAAAAGATGTTTTCTGCCATTTCTGTTGGTGTAACCGGTTACCCTGTTTATGGTAACCGGTTACATGGTCGTTTTTTAGAGGTAATGGCGTTTTCAACTGGGTGTAACCGGTTACCACTATAGTTTTTTTCTTCAGTTTTCAACTTATTTTTGAATTGTTTTACTTTTTCCATTATTTCGTAAGCGATGTATAAAAAGCCTTTAGTACTCTCAATTATTGTTAATGCCAATTTTAATTCTCACCCTCAATTACTCACACACACTCTCTCTCTCTCTATTTTTCTCGCTCAACTCTTAACTTTATCTTCTCCAAATTATCCTAATTCTCCATTAATTCACTTTAATTGATTTGTGTGTTCTAACAACAGATTTATTTAATCGTGTTTTTTGATTTTATCCAGTTTAATCATACGATTCGACCACTAATCCAATAGTTCGACCAATGAACCATTGATTTGATGACCAATTCAGTTTTTATAGCAAATTTTTTTATGAGAAAACAATTCCGTTAAGAACCAAGAGAAGAAACAAAGGAGCCTTGGAAGTCAAGCAAAGGACATTCTCCAAGCCAAGTGCTAGAACCTAAAGCCTTGCAAACTCTAACAAGATTATGGGCTAGGATGTTTTGGTGTTTACTAATGAACATGACAGAACAAAAGGAGAAGTTTCTGAAAAACATTCTACAATCATCAGCTATAGGGTTTATAACAGCTGAGTCTTTACTACCATTGATGCAATCTACCATATTTGAAGCATCCGATTGGATAAGCATTTTGTTAACTTTTATCTTCAAAGCAGTTTCCATGCCCCAAGTAATAGCCATTAGCTCAGCCATCGCAGGGTTCGAAATGAAAGCTTCAGATTTTCAAGCTGAGATGATAACCTTGTTAGCTGGATCTTTCACAACACAACCATAGCAGGTTAAGCCTTCATCAAACACTCCAGCATCCACTTGCATAGTATGGTACTCAATGCTGCCAACAGGATCCATCGGGCTAGGCAACTTCTGAGTAACATTGTTCTTGTTCCAGAGGTTGAACTCATAAACCATATTTTTAGCATCAGCTGCCACCTGAACTGGAGTAAATTCTTTTACTTGGAAGAGAATGATGTTGTGAGCCAGCCAAATCTTGTAGAAAGTAGCTGCAATAATTTGGCAGACTAGCTGGTCTTTCTCTACAAGGTATTTCTCCAACCAAGTACAAATGTTCGCCTTTTAGGGAGTTCTTATGCTCAATGTAGAAGAGAAGAAAGTCTGTCTAGCAAAATCGCAGTCAAGGAGAAGATGGTCAATAGATTCAGGTGCTATCTGACAAAAAAAGCAGGATGAGTCGATTTTCAAACCTTTCTTCAGTAGGTTCACTCTAGTGGGAAGAATATTCCTTGCAACCCTTCAAAGAAAATTCTTAACCTTGTTCTGAATTTGGATTTTCCATATCTTCTTCCAAAGCTTTTGGTGGGGATCACTCAATAAAGTTGGCCTCGAATCAAGTCTTTCCTTCATGCTCAGATGATAGGCAGTTCTAACTGAGTACTTCACGTTCATCTCATGGTGCCAAATTAGAACATCTTTGATATTGTTTTGAGATAAAAGGATTCCTGCTATTTAGGGCTGGAAATGAGTCGAGTCGAGTCGAACTCACCTCAGCTCAGCTCGACTCGTTAAGAATTGTTCGAGTTCGAGTTCGACACGAACTTTTTTTTAAGCTCAAACTCGACTCGATATAAGTTCATGGACAGTTCGGTTCAACTCGTTAGGTTCATCTCATTAGGTTCAGCTCACATGATTCACGGACTTAAAAACTATTTTTTTAAATATATATATTTTTTAGTATATTTGACATTTTAAATAAATATATATTTTTTAAATAAAATATTAAAATAAAATAAAAGTTATCATATTGAAATTTAACTTTATCTTCGAAATCTACTAATTCAAAACCTACACAACTTTCAAGAGATACATTTGAGAGTCTAATTCAAAAACTACTCAATTGAAGATTAAATTTGTCTAAGATTTGGAGTAAATATTTAAACTTAATCTTAAAGACATTATAATTCTTCTCATATGTAACCGAGTTGACTCATGAACCTAACGAGTCGAACTATGTATAGTTCAACTCATTTAGTTAACGAACTTAATTTTTCGCTCATACTCAACTCATTTGGTTCATAAATCTAGTTCAACGATTTAATTGTTGAATCGAATTTCGAACTATTTTCGAGTTGGTTCAGTTCATTGTCAACTTTACTCTACTGCTATTAGAGAGGCATCTGACCGTCCAAATAAAGAGGAAATAAGGTCAGACTTCCATTTACGTGTTCTTCATCAATTAAATCACTGACTTTTATTTATGGATCTGTGATGCCAGGAGGCTGCACAAGCTTAAACTCAAGTTGCTAGGAATCCAACTATCTTTTAATATTGAAACTGATCTACCATTTTTAATCCTTCTAACGCTCTATTTTTATAACATTGATAATTAGCAAGATGATAATTTTTTTATTCAATTAAAATATTTACTAGTATGATTTGACATTAGTCAATTATATTTAAACCATATGTCATAATTGAGCCATAGACCGACTTAATAATTAGCCGTAATAGACTCGAATTCAAAAACTAATACGGAAAAGCCATTATACAAAAAATTCTTTCACGATACTTCCATTCTTTGTTTCTTTCATTTTTATCTCTCATTTATATACTATTTATCTCTATCCTAAATTATAAATTATTTTTACCAAAAAAAAATTGTTTAAAATTATAAGTTATCTTACATTTGAAATACAATATTAGTTTTAAATACAATACTAATGATATTGTTTCTAATATATTCTCAAAATATTTATTGTTATTTATTTTTTTTAACTCTCTGCTAATTTATTTTTACTGTATAATTATAAAAAATATTATTATAAAATTATATATAATTTGTTTTTTAATAAAATAATAATTAAGTTTTTTAATTCATAAAATTCACACATTTTATATTTTATATTTTGTAACGGAGGGATTAGTAGTTAGTAAAACTCTATAAATAGTACTCACCTCATTAGTCACATCCTTGGCTTTCTCACATATATCCTTCTCGAATGGCTTCTTCAGGTTTAAACGCAGAAGCTTCCGAATTTCACCCCAACAACCAACTGCAAAAGCTTCACCCTCCATACCTCACTTTCGCTCCTCTCACACATCAGCCTTCTTACCCTTTTTTCTATTATTATCCCGCTGCCACAAAACATCATTTTCACTCATCAACTTACTTTTCCTTTCGCATTCACCCAAACCTCACCACCGTAACTCCTACGTTTCCGCCATCTAGCGGTGTGAAAAAGGATATAGCGGTGGAGGCGGCATCTACAGAGGGTAATGATGGAGAAATGAAAGGCCGTCGTTCTCATGGATTGAGAATCCCGAAGTTAGAGTGGAGGAAGAAAGGATTAAATGTTGCTGAAAAAGACCCTAAACTTATGAATCAGAGTTTGAGAAAGAATCATCACAGTAAACATGAACTACACTCTAGAGCTTCTACCAACCTGAAGAACAAAGGAATTGTTTTTCCTGTGGTTCCAGTTCGTCCTGATGGAGATGAAACAACTGTTATGATAAAAAACATTCCTAGCAAATATACGTATGCTTCTTTCTTCCTTCAATCTTAACTTATTTGTCTTTAGGACACTATTATATCGATTATTAGTTCATCATTTATTTATTTTTGGTTTGCGGTGACAGTCGAGACATGATAGTGAAGTTCTTAGAGAACCTTTGCATGGTTGAAAATGCAAAAGATCAAGAGAATGGAGATGAAAACACTTTCTCCTTTGATTTTGTCTACTTACCGATAGATTTCAGGTATGTCAACAACTTCCTTCTCTAGATAGAACTTTCATTGTTGATACAATAGTGACTAATAATGAAAATGAAACTACATGATTGCAGAACTGGGCTGAACAAAGGATATGCCTTTGTAAATTTCACTAAGGCTAGTGCAGCTTGGAGATTTGTTCAGACATCATCAAATCGGAAATGGGAATTGTTCCTTTCCCATAAGATACGTGATGTGGTTGCCGCACGCCTCCAGGTAGGGTTTGCATACTAGACTTAATCATTATACTCTAATAAACTGTTTCGATATTTTTGCCCTAATTACTGTACAGTAATTTTATTGAACTTTTTTTATATTTTAATATGTAGGGAAAAGAGAAACTAGAGAAACATTTCGTGAGTGTGAATTTTCCCTGTGAGTCCGAGGAAGTTCTGCCTCTGTGCTTTAGTCCACCTCGGGATGGTGTAATCAAAGGAAAGCAAAGGACACTGGGGAGGCTTCTCTATAATCCTCAGTAGTTCTTTGTTTTTATCATTTCATGTGTTGTTATATATGTATATGTAGTTAGGTTTAAATAGGTATGAACTTGATCAGACAAGTATTTTGTTGTGTGTCATTGTCCATTCCACGATATAGTTGGGTGGAGCTTGGCCACTTTATCCCTTCCATGGGAGGGTTGTGTGGTGGGGTCCACCCTTCTTGTGGATAGCTAGCCATCTAGGAGGGTTTGGTTCTCTTCAATCTATTCTCTTATGTTTCTGTTTGTAATGAAATGAAATTGGATATGATGTTTGTTTGTACTTGGAAGGGTTTATAGCCTTTTTGCCCTACTAACTATACGAGTACTTCTTATGCTTAACTTGGGGAATATAACATATAATATTGTCTTAGGTCATACTTATTTGCTTGCTTCTTTTTTGGTTATGTCGCTTTTGTTTGTCCCATCAAAACAAAACTTACACTAATTTGTGATGCATAGTTTGGTCAGCGCCTGAATATATTATGCCAAACTGAGTTGTTTCTGGGTTGTTACTACTTGCTACTAGCATGCACTGTGTTGTTTGTTTCAAAGATTACTATAATTTTGTTTGGTCAAAATATTTGTTTACCTTTTTGTAGCATTTCAGAATAAATGGTCAGACAAAGAGGTGTTTTGATCTATCGAAATTGGTCCGTGCAATATTGTTTGGATCATTGACCTTTATCTTTCAAGCAAAAGTTCCTGCTTTTCTTTTCGTTAAGAAAAAATAGCAGAGTTTGTGTATAAGCTCGATGTGTCTTATTCTTGCAACTGAGATGGTGATATAATTGATGCTCATCAAAAGGTTGGATTAACCATTTAGTTTAATGTTACAAACCTTCCATCCTTTCAACTTGTTGTTCTAATAGATTTCTACTATGTAACAAACTTTTCAACTTTTCAACGTTTGGTCTTTTCAGCCTGCTTGACCATTTTCAATCAAACAATTACTATCATTTTTTCTTATGATATTCTCAATTAAATCATTTGAACTTAATACTGCAACCTAATTAGAGTGTTTAGTGTGTTCTCTGATATCAGACATTATTGTGCTCTCTGATAACAGACATTATAAACAAATTATAAAATAAAACACAAAAACAGACATTACCAACATTCATTTTTATGATATTTGATATTTCCAAACAAATCTTTTAACTTTAAACTAGTAAAGGATATCTCGGCTCGCACGGAATTTAGATCAAGCACATCATAAGAGTTTATGCCTCACACATATAATAAAATTCACCATTAATTAATTAATTTTGTAATTTGACATTAATTGGACATTAATTAATATATGTAACCATAATTTTTTATATTTGACATTAATATTTTTAATTTTATGTTAATTGGATATATTTGACATTAAATTTATATTTTGGCATTAAAATTTTTTTATATATGACATTAAATTATATATTTTGAATTAAATTAATTTCATATTTTTACTATGACGTTTTATTAAATGTAACTTAATAAAATTATTTTTTAAAATATATTTTAAAAATAATTATGTGATTTTAACATTAGTTGGAACAATATTTATAAATATTATTTTAAAATTTTTATATTTTTACTGTATCGTTTTTAAAATGTACCTTAATAAAATTATTCTTTTAAATATATTTTGAAATTGAATTATATGTTTTAATTTAATTTAATTTCACATTTTTACAATAACGTTTTTTAAAATGTAAGATAGTTAAGAGATAATGCATGAACTATGTCAGAGATGTATAGATGATGGTCAACCATGTGTGAACCATGAGAGATAGTCAAGAGATGATGTGTGAACTATGTCACAGATACATAGATAATGGTCAACCATGAGAGACAATCAAGACATGATGTGTGAATGTCAGAGATGCATAGATGATGGTAAACCATGTGTGAACAATGGGAAATAGTCAAGAGACGATGCGTGAACTATGACAAAGATGCTAGATGAATGTCAACCATGTGTGAACCATGAGAGATAGTCAAAAGATGATGCGTGAACTATGTCAGAGATGCATAGATGAGTCAACCATGGGAGATAGTCAAGAGATGATGCGTGAACATTGTCAGAGATGCATAGATGAAGGTCAACCATGTGTGAACCATGGGAGACAGTCAGAAGATGATGCGTGAACTATGTCAGAGATGCATAGATGATGGTCAACCATGTGTGAACCATGGGAGATAGTCAAGAGATAATGCGTGAACTATGTCAGAGATGCATAGAGGATGGTCAACCAAGTTTGAACCATGGGAGATAGTCAAGAGATGATGTGTGAACAATGTCAGATATGCATAGATGATGGTCAACCATGTGTGAACCATGGGAGATAGTCAAGAGATGATGCGTGAACTATGTCAGAGATGCATAGATAATGCTCAACCAAGTTTAAACCATGGGAGATAGTCAAGAGATGATGCGCGAACTATGTCAGATATGCATAGATTATGGTCAACCATGTGTGAACCATGGAAGATAGTCAAGAGATGATTCGTAAACTATGTCACAAATGCATAGAGGATGGTCAACCATAGGAGACAGTCAAGAGATGATGTGTGAACTATATCAGAGATGCATAAATGATTGTAAACCATGTATGAACCATGGGAAATAGTTAAGAGATGATGCGTGAACTATGACAAAGATGCATAGATGAATGTCAACCATGTATGAACCATGGGTGATAGTCAAAAGATGATGTGTGAACTGTGTCAGAGATGCATAGATGAAGGTCAACGATCGGAGATAGTCAAGAGATGATGCATGAACTATGTTAGAGATGCATAGATGATGGTAACCCATGTTTGAACCATGGGAGATAGTCAAGAGATGATGCGTGAACTATGACAGAGATGCATAGATAATAGTCAACCATGTATGAACCATGGGAGATAGTCAAGAGACGATGGGTGAACTATGTCAGAGATGTATAGATGATGGTCAACCATGTGTGAACCATGGGAGTAAGTCAAGAGTTGATGCCTGAAATATGTCAGAGATGCATAGATGATGGTCAACCATGTAGGAACCATGGGAGATAATCAAGTGATGATCTGTGAACTATTTCAGAGATGCATAGATGATGGACAACCATGTGTGAACCATAGGAGATAGTCAAGAGATGATGCGTGAACTATGTCAAAGATGCATAGAAGATGGTCAACCATGTGTGAACCATAGGAGATAGTCAAGAGATGATGCGTGAACTATGTCAGAGATGCATAGAATATGGTCAACCATGTGTGAACCATGGGAGATAGTCAAGAAGTGATGCATGAACTACGTCAAAGATGCATAGGTAATGGTCAACAAAGTTTGAACCATGGGAGATAGAGAAGATATGATGCGTGAACTATGTCAGAGATGCATATATGATGATCAACCATGTGTGAACCATGGGAGATAGTCAAGAGATGACTCTTGAACTATGCCAGAGATGCATAAATGATGGCCAACCATGTGTGAACCATGGGAGATAGTCAAGAGATGATGTGTAAACTATGTCATATATGTATAGATGAAGGTCAAACATGTGTAAACCATGGGAGATAGTCAAGACAAGATACGTGAACTATGTCTGAGATGTATAGATGATGGTCAAACATGTGTGAACTATGGGAGATAGTCAAGAGATTATATGTGAAATATGTCAGAGATGCATAGATGATGCTCAACCATGTTTGAACCATGGGAGATAGTCAAGAAATGATCCATGAACTTTGTCAGAGATGCACAGATGATGGTCAACCATATGTGAACCATGGGAGATAGTCAAGTGATGATTCGTGAACTATGTCTGAGGTGCATAGATGATGGTCAATAATGTGTGAACCATGGGAGATAGTCAATAGATGATGCGCGAACTATGTCAGAGATACATAAATGATGATCAACCATGTGTGAATCATGGTAGATAGACAAAAGATGATGTGTGAACTATGTCAGAGATGCATAAGTGATGGTCAATTGTGTTTGAACCATGGTAGATAGTCAACAGATGATGCGTGAATTATGTCAGAGATGCGTAGATAATTGTCAACCATGTGTAAACCATGGGAGATAGTCAAGAGATGATGCTTAAACTATGTCAGTGATGCATAGATGATGGCCCACCGTGTGTGAATCATGGGAGATAGTCAAGAGATGATGCGTGAACTATGTCAGAGATGCATAGATGATGGTCAACCATGTGTGAAACGTGGGAGATAGTCAAATAATGATCAATAAACTATGTCAGAGATGCATATATGATGGTCAACCATGTGTGAACCATGGGATATAGTCAAGAGATGATGCGTGAACTATGTCAGAGATGCATAGATAATGGTCAACCATGTGTGAACCAGGGTAGATAGACAAGAGATGATGCATGAACTATGTCAGAGATGCATAAAAGATGGTCAACCATGTGTAAACCATTGGAGATAGTCAAGATATGATGCGTGAACTATGTCATAAAAGCATAGGTAATGGTCAACCAAGTTTGAGCCATGGGAGATAGTGAAGATATATGCGTGAACTATGTCAAAGATACATAGATGATGGTCAACCATGTGTGAACTATGAGAGATAGTCAAGAGATTATTCGTGAACTATGTCAGAGATGCATAGACGATGGTTAACCATGTGTGAAACATAGGAGATAGTCAATAGATGATGTGTGAAATATGTCAGAGATGTATAGATTAAGGTCAAACATGTGTAAACCATGGCAGATAGTCAAGAGAGTATGCTTGAACTATATCAGAGATGCATAGGTGATGGTCAACCATGTGTGAACCATGGGAGATAGTTAATAGATGATTTGTGAACTATGTCAGAGATGTATAGATGATTGTCAACCATGTTTGAACCATGGGAGATAGTCAAGAGATGATATGTGAACTATGTCAGAGATGCATAGATGATAGTCAACCATGTGTGAGCCATGGGAGATAGTCAAGTGATGATCCGTGAACTATGTCAGAGTTGCATAGATGATGTTCAACCATGTATGA